TGTAGTAGTAAAGATTGTTCTGTGAGCAAGGACCTTGTGAGGGTTTTTTCTACTTTCTTGACTTTGGTAAGTTTGTTTTAACAAGATCAAGAGTAGTTTAGATAAAATAAGGGTAAAAAAAGTTGTTGGCTTCTCTCCACTTATATCACTATTGAATTGTAGTAATATGATCAACTTAAAAAATTATAGCATTTACTAAGTGAAGATATTATAGAGGTTAGATATGATAGAGGTAGGGTGCAGCTAATGTTTTAGGGTAATTTGTCTGGGAGGGTTTACTGTTCATTGGTTTTAACATGATTTTTTACCAAGATTTAAATAAATTTCACCATGATTTGTTTAGCATTACTTCCTTTAACCTAAAATGTAGTGTTATATTTTTTAGACAGTTCTGAGTGGTAGACAAAACTACACAGTAGTGATGCCCGAACTTCAAATTATAGGCAAGTTTCTTAGTTTAGAATGAATAACAGACACTGCAAAAGTAGTAAAGATCAAAATACAAATTCCAAATCATGTTCATTCATACACTCAAAATACTACAACAAAGCCAAAAAAGTCTCTATACGCTGCCATTTTCCTGTTCGTGGTTAGTGACTGCATGCTATGCCGACACACTGCAGTTACCAAGAGCTTTATATACATATTTTACATTGAGTTTAAGAAAAATTATGCTCCGCATGTGTTGCACTAGTATTACAGTGATTTTAAAATGTGTTCCCAGATTTTTAGGCAAACCATGTGTGTTTTCAGTTCCGTTGTGGTTTTTTTATTTTGGTTTATAAGCTTGGCAAGATGCCTTTTTTTTTTCTTAATATACTGTCAATAAGTTCTTGAAAAGAACAATTTAAATCTGAAAACAAACTTTGATTTTTCTTATTATATTTAGTAAAAATAAGCATTACTGTGGGGTTATTTATTAAACTTTGCTGCATGGTTGAGATCTCTGTATTTGCTTTATGCAATCTGAAAGATGACTTGAAAAGGATTTCTGAAAACTTGGTTTGTTTCCTTTCAAAATTCTTCTCTGTCTACCACCAATAACCCTCAAAGTTTTCTTGATTTTACACTCAAAATGACAAGAATGTAAATTAATTCTCTGGTTTCATAGAAAGGTGCCTTGGGAGTGGAAAAAGCTCGTGGATTTTCATTGGGAACTCTCTTGTGGTATAATTAATGTTCTTTTTTTAAATAGTAACAAAACAAGTGAAAATGCTTTAAAGTCATCCCTATTTACATATTGTGTCCAGAGTGTTTCTGGTATAACTGAGAATATAAACCAGTGTTCTCTCTATATACTATACCCTCAATTCCCTCAGATGCTTTCTGACCTCTTTTAGAAAAGAACTTACACTAAGGTTTTTGCCATCTTATGTCTGCCCCCATTCTCGTACTTTAGTGTCTCTGGTAGCTCAAAAAATGTTAATTGTGACAGGGTAACTGTTATTATACAAATTATCCTGATGAAAATTTCATCTGACAGCATCTCTGGCATGATTCCTCTTTACAACAGCAGATCCACAGCAGCCTTTCCTGTACCTATATGGGCCAGGCTTGTTAGTTATGTGTTTTCCAAAGATCCCCTGTTTCTTTTTTGGATAAAATGTTACCAACACATCCAGAGCCAATGACTGGGATAGTCACATAGGCCAGCTCTGTGACGTTAAAAGATCCTTAACTTTTCTTGTCCTCAGGAACAAAAAGCGAGTCTAATATCTATTTCCTAGTTATAATTGGAAAGTAGAGTAAAACTAGCAAGAGCTAGGGTGTTCCTGCAGTATATCAGATTTATGCCAAAGCTGATCTAAATTAAAACAGAAGTATCAAAGGTTGTTAAACGAAACCTCCAGCACTGTAATGAGAAGTTGATCTGTACTTTTCCTTAAGAGGTCACTAGAGCACTCCCTTTCCCTCAGGGGCCTTGTAATCAGCTTGCCTTGAGACAGAGGTACCTTCAGGAACTAAATGGACGTCCAAGAATCCCAACCAGGAGTTTGGCCTGAACAGCCAAGATTTTTACAGCTCAGTTTACAGCCAGCTGGAGATACTACTAAATAGTTAGCAGGGATATGACAGTGCTGAAGAGGAGACCTTATCCCACAAGTGTTTGTATATTGTTTCATGGTTTGGCTACCTAGTATCTATTAAGGAGCAGAGAAAAGCTATATTTGTCCTTAGACATCATATTTTTTTCCTTTGTGGCATTTTTAAGAGAAAACTAATAATAGAAATCTAAGAGGCTTTAAAGCACCATTCTCCCTGCACCTCTTCTGTCCCCCCAAAATTCTCATGCCACAGACAAGATGCTTTTCTACCTTGGTGTCTAGAGCTTCTATTTTCATGTTTTAGAGCTGTGAAACAGCTAGTTTCATATTTATTTTGACCTCCAAGCACATTTATTGTGCAGTTTTTGTGTCCTCTTTAAGATTTGTTTGCATTGTTGAGCCAACTAATTAAAATACTACAATTGAGCAGCTGCACCCATCACCCCTTTAAAAATATTTGTTTCTTTAAAATCAATTTACACAGTATACACTATATTAATATATTGTTTTGTTCCTGTGCCTTTCCTGTAACCATTAGAACACTTCCCTCCTTTAGTCTTGTGGTGCTTCTGGATGGCAGTGTAAACTTCAAAAGTTCTCTCCTTCGTTAATTTGGATAAGCAAAGCACGTACCTATGAATCACAGTAAGATCATTAGGAAAATTCTAACCTTGGTTCAAAAAACATGTTTTCTTTTATTCTCTCAAACACAAGCACTATCATGTCTTAGCCTTTTCTTATATATTAAGGTGTTTTTCTTCTCCACATTTTTAAAGTAAGCTGTAGCTCAGAATATTAGCTATAACTGTACTATCTGTGCGTACAAGGTGCAGAACCTTTTCAGGATCTACTTTAGATGGTTAGAGAACCTTCCTTTTGACCAGCCAGGTCATGCATCATGGAGTAAAAAAACTTTAATTAATGAGTTTGAAGTCCATCTGAGAATATAGGACCAAAAAAAAAAAAGGTGGCATGGCAAGTCTTGTAATAGCCCCGGAAGCTCTGTTTTAAAGCCATTGGTGGTGTTCTATTTTTAAGTCTTACGTGGTGCATGTAACTCTGTGAGCAAAGGCCTTGAAATTCATTCACTACTCACAACTGTGTTAGTACTAAGCAGTGAGCATTGAACACATAGTGGTGACCCATTGCTCCTTCACATGAAGGAGAATGCAAGCCATTTCATACCCCAGTGATCTGCAGCCACTGCAGTGAGTCAGAGGTGTTACACAGTGTTAATTTTCTGCTCTCAATAGGTGCTGGACAACAAAGCCTAGAAATGATGCTTTGAGAAGTGCTACTGTATATACACTACATAGAATGGAAAAAATGCTTTTCAGTTTCTTGGCCCTGTACAGAAGAATGATGTTCTGCCAAGGCTGCTGGAATGCAGTGTCCTGTTAATGACTCGAAATCAGAGTGCTCACCATGGTTTCCCCCATGCTGTATAGTGTCCATTCTCAAAGCTTGTTTAGAACAGGTATTTTTCAGTGAGGTACCATCCACTGAAAGTAGGTGAATAGTGGAAGTCTGACTTAAGAGCTCCCAGGTTCCCATAGATGGGTATCCTTTGCTGAGTCTGCTGGCTGCGTATTCTGAAAATCTAGTTAGGGCAGATGCTCAGTGTTATGTACTATTACTGAGAGGGAAAACAGTTCTCTCTGGAGAGTGTTAGCCTGCAGGAAAGTATCACGGGTGGGGTTCGGCCCCGCGATAGACCCTCGCACACATTTTGCATAGGAAACGAGTCCCCAGATAGGTGACTCACAAAATGGCTCTTTATTAAAACAAGGTTTCAGTTTATATAGAGAGGTACATAGAAGGGTCTCGAACAAGGGTGGGATTCTTGCCAGGGGCACGAATCCTAAGGGTCAGAGATAAGGGAAAATGGAGGGATTGGCTGCAGGGATATGTCCAGCCATATAGGGAGATTTGGGAGTTAGGGAAGGAGGGGAAGGAATGGTGAGGGGGGCACAGATAGGGGAATTCTGCAGGGGTCTGTGGAAGCGGCATCTTATCGCTGGATCTCAGGCGCTTCCTGCAGTCGCAGCTGTCAGAGCACCTCTAGATCGATTTCTTCCTCCGAGGTTTCTTCGTAGCCTTTCTGTATCTGTCTCCATTCTCTGTAGGCCTCTGCTGGTCCACTTCCGACAGGAAAGAAGTGTGAGTGGCAATAGGCTAGGGATGTAGTTGTCATCTTCAGGCTTACTGAGTTATAGAAATTATAACAACGAAAGTAGTTGGCATATGACAGAGTGCCATCTGAACGCTTGAGTTTTGCTGAGTGTTTTCGCTACATCTTGTTTGGAGAAGCAATTGCATTTGGATTTAAGAAGTAAGCAAGAATCTCTGCTTCTTGTCAAATGAGATACTACAAGCAGTTGCTGCTTCCAGTAAAGCCCTACAGAAGACTGACTCGTTGAGAGCGAGTACCTATAGCTGATTTACTGCTCCATAAGCAGCAGCACTTCTTGATTCCCACTGAGTTCATAGAAACTCAACGGGACTGACTAGCAGTTCCTTACATAGAGACACAACTTCCTTTTTCTCCTATTGATGCAGTACCTCCTGTTAGTACGAGTTCAACAAAAGTGGGAGTCTGTCCTTCACAAACAAGGTAAAGGTGCCCAGGGAGTTTGAAACCATTCCTCCTTTCCTCACATCAAACATTGTAATTATAGTAATTGCAGTTCATTCAAGCGCAACAATAACATAAAAATACCTAGAAAACATACACAGATGCATTTGTATTATGAAACTTTCCTTTCTTGGAAGAGAGCAGTAATTCACCGCTGAGGAACTTCTAAGTTGCACAGAAAAAAATCTCCCATTTGCATGTCAGTATTCAAAGGCAAATCTATACCATAACTTCTTCAGTAAGCAAGGTTTCAGGCTGACCAAAAATCTTCATACTGTTAGTTTGCCTATTTCTCTAAATGTGCCTTTTTTTTACTTCAGTAGAGTCATCAATGTGTTGAAGACATATATTTGAAAGGTGGGGAATTAGTGGAAGAATTGCAACTTTTTGAAGATACAGACCTTTCCGTACTTTTCTTGTTGCATACCTGGAAAATCATAAAGGGTATGTATCATTTCAGGTTTGGGGTTTTTTAAACTTCTGCCTATGTTATAAAGTATTGATCATTTTCAGCAGCGTAGATGGATTCACTATCAAAGCACATGACTGAAATATACCTAAGGCTACAAGTGAAGGGGAAGCAGATATGAAGTTTTAATTAAATTTGAAGGATTTGAATGTTATGACAAGTAAAAATAGAAAATTCAACTAACTTAACTGGTATTTGTTACATCAGTTAGTGTCACTGGGTTTTTTTGGAGGGAAGGAAAGTTAGTTCTGTAACTTGCAGTCAGTGTATAAAGGAAAAGAGAGAGTTTTTTATTCATTAGTTCAAAGTACACATTTTTTTAGGGAAAAATTACTTCTTGATGTCTGTACATGCCAAACAAAATTCATTTTTTCTTTGTGGGGAAGTTCTCAATAGTTCTTTTGAACTTTACTGAGTAACTGGTAAGTATTCAAAATCATAAAGTTAACTGGGGTTATCCACCATTTTAATATTGTAATTGTATTGTAATATTTGGAAAACTGCAGTTCAGTTTTGCTTATGTTAATGCATAATATTCAACAGTATCTTCCCCCTTCCTGATAGATGTATACTGGCAGGTTGTTGCAGTTAGCTTTGTTACTATTTAGCTTATTGGTTGATCATTAATAGTTACTTTCATTGGGGTTTTTTAATTGTATGAACTTTTAGTTCAAAGTAGTATGGAACATGAAAAATTATACCAAAACTAAGAATGTATTAATACCAAAAATTAATTTTGATTGCACTCATTTCAGTGAGTTTATACTACATTTATGTAGGCTCAGAGTATCACTCAAGCTATCAGTTGGTACTCTAAGCGAAGTTTCAAGGGTGACTTTTTCATAACTGTGCAAGATTCTGTAGATAGAAGCAGTAGATAGCACTAAACACCTAAAAGTGTTTTTAGAGAGTAGAATGAGCATCTTAGCCGTGAGGAGAGTATGTCAAGTGAAGGGCCCATTTTAGTTCAGAATGCTGAAGAAATGAGATATAAAATTATTTCCTTGACTCTGGAAGGTAACAATTTCTTCAAAGAAAGTCAAGGAAATCCTGTTTAAAGTAGAAGAGTAGAAAGCCATTTAAAATTTGAGAATTTCAGGTGGCTTTGGAGCAAATAGAAATCAGGTCATTGAAATGCAACCTGTTTACTCTTGTTTCTTCTCCCTAGAAACTTCATCCACATTTCATCAAAATGCAGCGGAATCTATTACATGGTGCATCTCAGCTGGCACATGGGACGTGTTGGTTTTTTCCTCACACTGCCGTCTTTCAGTGCTTAAAAGGACAGTCCATGCTGTCTAATGTGGGATGCAAAGTGATTTTGGCACTGGACCCCCCTAAGCGATGTCTTCATGCAGGTGCAGCACACTTTGCCTCAAAGAAAACTGCTTTTCCATCACAGCCAGCAGACACTCCTCACAAAGAAGAGAAAAATCCTTCGCCTTCGGCCACTGGTACACCCAAGCAGAGCCCTGCGGAGTCAGATCCCTTAGATCCTGATCCATTACAGGACAAATCAATTAGCCTTGCTCAGAGATTCAAGAAAACTTTTAAACAGTATGGAAAAGTCATGATTCCAGTGCATCTTCTGACTTCCACCGTATGGTTTGGATCCTTTTACTATGCAGCCATGAAGTAAGTTGATATTTTGTTGCAGTGCCCAATACCATGATTGAATTGAGACTGACTTTCACAGATGAAAGGACATATAGATTATTATTGCATGTTAAAAAGTGCCTTTATATGTATGTAATGGAGAAATGTGGCTGTGTACCAGGTCTGTTGCTAATGTTTGAAGGAATGCTCATCTCCCCAGAATTATGCATGGATGTAAACAGCACTGAAATTATTAGTAGCCTCTTAAAAGGTAAAGAGAGGGATTTGGAATCCTGATTAGGTGAGATCTTTATAGACCTTTTCTTTCTTTGCTGTTGGACTTCAGGGTATTTCACCACTTCTTCCCTGCTTCATCCCCAGTCTTCCCTCATCTTTATATTTTCATATCATTTACCTCACTTAGCTGCTCACAAGCTATCTATATCCTTTCCTTTTTTATTTCTGTTTCTGGAAAATGGTATTTAATAGAAAAAAACTACTACATCAACTATGAGCTGCTAGTTTGCTAGTTCAGATGAAAGAGGTTTTATTTATCTGCAAACAGTTTTGCTAAATTTGCTAAATATGAGCAAATGTTTTTCTCTGGACTGCTAATGTTGTATATTTAATAATAGAAAGCATGAAACAAGGACAGTTCCTGGTGGCAAGGATGGGACTCTGACATCAGAATGCCTTATTGCACAAGTGTTTGTTTTAGTTACTCTAACCAGCTGGCATAATTGCTCTTTCTGGGAGCTATAGATCCAAATGTCATTCTAAATTTAGCTCATGTCAGAGGAATAAAGGTCTTGAGCTATAAAAATATTTGCTTTGGATGAATTCAGGCTGATGCTTATATCCAGACGTTAAAGATTGAGTGAAGATTACTTTTCTTGAAACTCTAAAGCTAGCTGCTAAAGTAGGTATTTGGCAGAGGAAAACAAATATTTAACTAGAAACTAATTATAACAAAGCTTCAGTTTGTCATGCCAGAAGAGCAGCACCCTCTTGAAGTGGAAAAATAACTTTCAGAATGACTGCTCATGATACGAGACTAAACAGTGGCAGTTTATGAAATAGCACAGTTACTAGGTCTCCATTTTCTACTCTGGTAATAGGCCTTCAGATTGTAACTGTTAGTAAATTATTGCCTGTTATTGTTCCTGATGCTAAAGTGACTGCATGCTCTGAAGAATGCTTAAATTATTAGATAGAAATGGATAATGATACTAATAATATAGCATCTCTGAATATTGGAAACTGTTCTTCTATAACTTCTCCATACAGTTTCTACTGTAATATAAAGATGGGCTTTCATTTTTTCCTTTGGTGCTGATATTAGCTTCCCTGGCTTTCACGTAGAAATTGTGGTAAGAGCTCCCTGCACCCATTTTAACACTTTATAATGACAAGGTAGAGCAACTGAGCACAAAGCCCCTGAAGTCTTGTCCATATAACATGTTGTTTCCTTTTCCTCTGCCACACTCCATTTGTTTGATATATTTGGAAGTCAATGGAATGTTGTCTGAAATTTTAAAAAGGAAAAAAAAAGTTATTTTAGGCAAAACAGAACATGAAATTGAGCCTGCACAGCTGGAGCCTAAGTAGCTGTCTTACCACCTTTATATCTCCTTACCTTCAGACATAAACTGGGACACAGGTGAGTTAAAAGCTACTCAACCCAACAGGGATAATATAAAGGGGTCACCTTCTGGAACATTGAACAGATGTTCCAAACATTAATTTGCCCACTTGTTCAGAAATATAAATCCTATAAGTATATTGCTTAGATGAAAAAAATTCTTTGCTCTCAAATTACAAAGTTTGTGTAATAAAGAATGGAAATAGTGCTCTAAATAACTGTTCAGGTTTCAATTTCCAAATCAAGTTACCAATTTTTTTCTCTTTTGTAGTGGGGTGAATGTTGTTCCATTCCTAGAGTTGATTGGCTTACCAGACAGCGTAACAAACATCCTGAAAAATTCCCAGAGCGGAAATGCACTAACTGCGTATGCATTGTATAAAGTAAGTATAAATTTGGTTTGTTTATAAGCTCCAAATCTTGCCTGGTAAACTACACAGGGTTGGCTCTTTATAGCAGAAAGAATTAATTAACTTTCTTTGATAATTATGTGTACTTGAGCATTCATTTTTGTAGGAAGAATATTCACATGCAAATTGATATGTGGTGTGTGTCCTTCAAGGAGTCTATATGTATAATAGCTTCTATATGTAAAATAACTTCTTCACTGCAGAACTATTGTCTGCCCTCTGAGATCTAATTAAAACTAAGTTATTCTTCTGTATCCCTGACATAATTAACAGGGACAAAGAGGTAAAGTCTAAACACCTCGTTGAATTCCAGATAGAAGTACAGTTATTTTTATCCTAGAGGATTCTCTAGTTTGTGTTTCTACCTTAGTTGCTCGTCACTGTCAAGTATTTTCATTGTCTGTTTGAATCAATTAGTTACATTCAGGTTTGGGTTTCTTTTTATTGCTTTGTATGTGCACAGTCTGTGTTTGGGAAACTTGAATCGTGTCAGATCATGCAAAAACAAGGTATTGTATTTGCTGTACATGCCACTATTTGTTTTGTTTACAAATGTGATGTGCTTCTTACTTGTTTAATTTAAAGGGGTTACTTCCCCAAACAAAATGTGAAAGTACTACTATTCGCAATTATTCCTGTGCCTAAAAAAAGACCAGTAAATAAAGGTAGTTAAATATAAAGGTGTTGTTATAGCTGGGAGATCTGGCAGTGTTGGAAGAAACTCAGTGTTCACATACTGTTTGTTCTGAATTGCATTCTGAGATGCCTAATGCTTGTCCCACAAGCTGCACAGGGAGGGTTTGTGTGGTGGTGTTTTTTGTGGTTTTTTTTTTTTTTTTTTTTAATGGAAGTCTAATGCCCTTGCCGTCTCTGTCAAAATGATACTTTAAGTAGAAGGTATGCATTCTGGAGGATGCTCTGTAAGTTGGTTTATTTCCATATAAATTGAAGATACCTTTAAAATTTGACACTGGTCAAAATAAATGTTCAGCATTAAAAATACCGTTTGCTGTATGTTATTGTCCTGTTTTATTTATGCAGTGTGTTCTTTGATTTCTTTAAGATTGCAACTCCTGCCAGATACACTGTGACTTTGGGAGGAACATCCATCACTGTTAAATATCTACGTAAGAGTGGCTACATATCCACACCACCACCAGTAAAGGAATATCTGCAAGACAGGATGGAGGAAACAAAGGATAAAATTACGGAGAAGATGGAGGAAACAAAGGATAAAATTACGGAGAAGATGGGGGAAACAAAGGATAAAATTACGGAGAAGATGGGGGAAACAAAGGATAAAATTACGGAGAAGATACAAGAAACCAAAGATAAAGTCTCATTTAAAAAAATAAAGGAGTAGGAGAGATGCTTAATTTTGGATATATCAAACAGCACTTTAACCCTTTGTGAGGCAGGATATGCAAAGTGCACTTCTGAGCTTTTTTCTTTCCTTTTTTTTTCCTTTTTTTTTTCTTTTTTGTTCTTTTTGGTTTTTTTCACTTTGTCTGGAGACAACAATTGCTATGGGGATTTAAAGGTTAAAGTTCCCTGGGGGAGAAGTTGTGACAAAATCTCAGTTTACAGAAGGAAAAGTGAATCTCGTGCTAGAAGTTAATATGTCCATTGGTCATAGTGTTAACAGTTATTCTTCCCTCTTTTTTTTTTTTCCACACCCTCCTTCTCAAAATGGAGATGGTTTCTGCCAAAAACCACTGCTTTATTCTTCTTCCATCGTCGTGCACAGCCATTATTCCACTAGTCTCTGAACCTTCCATTAAATGAGAATGAAGATTTCACTGCTGGGAAAGGCGACATGTTTAGGTTTTTAGAGTATGTGGACCCAAGCCTCTTCAATCGTGATCATCTCTCAACTTGGAGACAGACCATTGTCACTGCATTGATACTGCACATGAAGGAATCGATGGATTAGGTACTGGGGTAGCCAGAATGAATCACAACGGCTACACTGACTTCAGCCAGGCTGCCATAGTTTACAGGTTGAGACTATGAATCTTTCTTGGACAGTGCATGTTTTCAGAAATCTCAACTGAAAGCTTTAGGAAGATAAGTTAATCACAGTAGCCACACTGTCAAGTATACTTTGTTTCCTGAAGATGATTTACAGTAGAAAGTCACTAAATGAAATTAATCAATAATTGTATATTAAAAACTAGGATTTGTTTATTGTGTTAAAGTTTACAAACCTGCTCTATTTCATTTTTGAAACAAATAAAAAACTTGAAAGATAAGTTTATTTGAGAAATTGCTATACTAAGGGGCTTTTAAAACACACGGAAAGTTATAGTTAAACCCAAGAGTTCCTGCTACTATTCAGAAATCCCTCAGACTTCGGTAGAACAATTTGAGTAAAATAAGCATGATTTTTGAGACAGTGATCACAATCTGCCAAACTTTTTTTCCCCCCTAGATTTTCTTAAGTCAAGCAAACACTTACTCATAGCTGAAGGCTGAAATGCTGCCTCAGAGATGCCATAAAGGACTATAGTTGAAACTGTTCTATTTGACTGGGCAGGCAGACTTCTCTTGCTCTTACTCAAATAAGGCTAAATTGAAAGTGTGGTTTTTCCTATTTCTACTACAAATCTCACTTGGTAGCAACTCTGCATGTGTATGTTGTTTAACAGAAGTGCTTTTTTGCAGGGGGGTAGGGGCAAGGAACAGAGTTGGACCCTGAGCATTGTGATTGACTAGAGTAAAAGAATATAGCTGATGAAGTATCAGCTCTGTCCCACTGTTCTGTTTTCATTCAAGTCACTGAGGGCCTCTCCGTGTTTAAGTGAGTTGAGCTTCATTAACTTAATTGTGCAGGATTGACTACATACTTCTCTGCCTCTGCCCACATGTCAAATAGTAACTGCAGTCTAATGCCTACCTCACAGGGATGTTGTGAGGAATAATCATTGTATATTCAGTGACCTAGAGATGTAAAGTGCCATGTTTCTGATAAACATTATTAAAAAAATATTTCTGTGAACTCTTGCACTGCTGAGTACTACTGTAGGGTTGGACTTAAGAGATACTATTTTGTTTTTTAATTTCAGTGTACTTTTCCTTACTGTCCCCATGCACACATTCTTCTGATGTTGGCATTTTTTCTGGTTTTCTGCTTCTGGGGGCAGTGTTATCTGTGTCCTGCAGAATCCTGCAAAGCCTGAAGTCTGCCTCAGTAATACTGCATGGTCATTCTCAGTCTGGAGCTGGATGTGGGACCTTCTTGGTGCAGCTCCCAGGATCCATCTCTTCTTTGCACATGGCAGGGATTGCACAGGGGCGCCTTGGTGTGCTACAATGAGCTTGTAGCCCTTGGGCATGCTAGAACTTGTTCATTACACAGGGTACCCCCCTCTTCTTGCCCTTCCCCTTGTCCAGTGGGCCAGTGGCCACTCCAGTGCTTACATGATCCATCACTACTAATGCAAAGTTCAAAAGCTACGTGTAGTTGACTGTCCTATGCGACCATTTCTGCATCTGCAGGAACAGCTCCCAGTGACTATTGTCAAGTGCCTCCTCTGTGTACTGTTTGGTCAGTTTTGCAGCATGGACAAGCTTGAGTTTCTGGGACAGCCACATCCTCCACCCAGGATGTCAATTAACAAAGCACACAGTTATGTGGATCAGTCTGTACGAAGCAGGAGGGGAAGTCTTCAGGACTTTGAAAATCTTACCTGGAGAGCTTTTGTGACAATTAGTCAAATGCTTGGTTGTACTGGTGAGCTTGTCTCCAGTTGGCTTCCTCTCTGGAATCAAGGTATTGCGTCATTAGCACGGAGACCAGCTGAGGAGTTCCTGGGCCCCCCAGTGAACGAATGTTGGTCCACTGGGTGCCCAGCGGGTACCCAGCTATACTGCAATTGTAACTATTGCATAAAGTTTACTTTCATCCTGTATCTCTCTTATAAATTAATTTCCATAGGTCTTGCCACAATACTAGGGTGCAGTTCTTGTTGGTAAGACTTAGCATGACTCTGCATGGCTGGAAGCTGTGATCCACCCTGCTTTGGAGGGGCTGTGTGCCCAGGCTGTGCCAGGCCGGGGCCAGGAAGGGAGAACCTGGGGACAACACAGGGTATTCTCTTACTGGTGCCCAAGCCAGCAAAGTTGGCACACTTGTGGCAGCAGTGTCCCTCAGGGGGGAGCAGCATCAGTGAGTGCCTTTGGCAGCACAGGAGGAACGGAGGAGCAGGTGCTGTGGCCTGGGAAAGCAAACACTTTAGCTGCAGCACCCAGAGCTGGCACTGAGGCAGCCCACAAGGGACCTGAGCCAGGGAGTGCCCAGCAAGAGTGCCAAGAGTCCTTGATGAGGTGGAAAGCCCAGGTAGAGGCCCAGCAGCACCTTCCATTGCCCACAGGACCATTCAGTCAGTGTTATCAGGAGTTGCCTTTTTCCCCAGGCAGCTCAGTGTCCTCAGGGCTGTCCTTTTACCTGTCCTTCAGGCCCTAGAGGTGTGGGTGAGGGTTGGGGTCCCTTCACCTCTGCAAAACTTCAACAATCTGCTGAGACCAGGACTAAAGTATCTTTCACCTTGTGTACAGCAGAGAAATAGCTGCTTTGGCAACTTACCCCACTTCTGTCTGCTCCCTGTCTCACACATAAACTGCTGTAGAGCATCACTTTGTTTTCCTTTGCTATAGGTACATGAAGGCACTGAGTGCCTGCCAGAGCAGAAGCTGAAAACAAAGTCACAGCCCAAGTAGAAGCTGAAGCAGTGCCCAAGCAGGACCTGGAACCAAAGTTATGGCCTGAGAGCTGACGAAGTTGCAACTCCGATGGAGCTGGATCTGAAATTGGAACAGCACTCAAGTGTAAGCCTGAGCAGGCTGGGCCCACAATCGGGCTAGAGTCAAAATCACAACCCAAGGTGAGAGTACATGCTGTGATCAGAGCAGGGAATCAGTGCCAAAAATGGGGGCCCAAGATGGAACTAGAGTAGATGTCAAGGTCCAAGCAGAGGCCAGATCTGAAATTACATGCCAAGAGAGGCTGGAGCTGAAGTTGCAAACCAATGCACAGCAAGAGCCTACACCACAACTCACTGTGTGGCTGGAGCCTAAACTGTGGCTCAAGGTGGTGAGAGACAAAAACCACAGCCCAAGACAAGTGGTAGCCCAAAGTAGGGCAGGAACTGAAGTCACAGACAATTATTGGGCCAGAGCCATGACCAGAAATCATGACCAGAGATATTACTGAGATGAAGAATAGACTGACATGGGCCTAGAGCCAAAAATCACAACCTGCTATCCAGCCCTAGCCAAAGTCACAAACCAAACAGGCACTGGAACTGAAGTAGCAGCCTATTGTTAAGCCAGACTTGTCTCAGTAGCCTGAGATGGGTATGGAGCTGAAATTGGAGGAGCTGAAGTCACATCTCGAGATGGAGCCAGAAATGAAGCTGTGGCCCAAGACTTCAGCTAGAGGCAAAGTAACAGCCCAAGATATGACAAGGGACGAATTAACAACCCATATAAGGGTCAGAGCCAAAGACACGGTCTGAGATTGAGCCAGAGCCAAAGATTCAGCATAAAAGGCACCACCACTGATGTTGCATCTCAAGATGGGATTGAATTCACAGCCCTATAAGGGACTGGAGCTGAAGTCATGACCCAAAAACTGGATCAGAGCCTAAGTTGTGGCCTCATGTTGGAAGAAGATGAAGATGTGGCTTGAAAATATCCGCCACTGGTTACACATGGAACAGGGCTGAAATCGCTGCCCAGTAAGAGGTCAGAGCCAAAGCTGCTGCCTGAAGTGGGCTAAAGCAGAAGTCATGAACCAAGCAGGGATCAAAGCCGAAGTTGCAACCCAGTACTGAACCAGAGACAAAGATGCGGATCATTAGGCAGCCAGAGTCAAAGTCACAGCCTGATGAGACTGGAACTGAAGTAGCAGCCAAGGTAAGAGCTGCAATAGCCTTCCAAGCAAGGCCAGAGCCAAAGTTGTGATCAAGTTGTTGGCAAAGTATCTGATCAATATCAGGCCAGAGCTTAAGTCACAGCACAATACAGGACCAGAAACAAAACTGCAATCAGATATCAGGCTGGAGCCAAAGCGGCACCTGAGATGGGAATGAAGCCAAATTTGTGGCCTAAGCAATAGATAGAGCCAAAGTTGTGGATGAAGATGTAGCTGGAGACAAAGTCACAAGCCAAGATGGGGACAGAGCTGAAGCCATGGCCTAAACAATAGCCACCTAAGGAGGGGTCAGACCCAAAGTCTGAACAGAGCCAAAGAAGAAGGCAACGCAGCAGAGCAATGGCCGAAGCCAAAGTCTGGCCACAGATGGGGCTGAAGCCAAGTTTCAGTCCAAGATGGGGCTAACCAAAAATCTTGGCCCAATATTGAGCCAGAGCTGCAGTAGCAGCCTGAGGTGGGCCAGAGCTGAAACTGCTGCCAGAGATGGGGCAGGAGGTAAAGTCTCACTCCAATATCTCTACACAGCTGAGGTCAGCAGCTCAATTCGGCACAAGTGCTGAAGTCACAGCCCAAGCAGGGGCCAGAGCCAAAGCTGCTACGCAATATCAGGCTGGACCCAGAGTCCAGGGGCAGAGGAGACATGGGAGCTTGAGCTGGAGCCAAAGTCACAGCCTAATATCAGGCTGGGGACAAGTTCATGACCCAAGATGGGGCCAGAATCAAAGTTGTGGCTCAGGATGGGGGCTGGAGCTGTGATGATTGCTGAAGATGGGGTAGGAAACATGGTGATGGCCCAAGATAGCTCCTGATCTTTACTCACAACTTGAGCAGAGATCAGACCTGAAGTCACAGCCTGAGATGGGACCAGAACCAAGATCACCATCCAACCAGGAGCCAGAGCTGAAGTTACAGAACTTGGAAATGAAGCTGTGGCCCGAGACAGGGCTGGAGCAGGAGCTGGAGCTGAACTCACAGCATGTTATGCAGTCAGAGCCAAAGCTGAAGCCCAAGTACTGGCCTGAAACAGTCAGGAGCAAAATTTGCAGACAAAGATGGAGCTGAGTGGAAACTGCAGCCCAATATTGGGCTGGAGCTGAATTTACAACCTGAGCAGAACACAGAGTCAAAATTATGGCCTGAGATAGGATCAAAATCAAAGTCACAGCCTGACAGGGGGATGGTGCCAAAGTCATGGCCTGGCATCAGGCTGGAGCTGAAGTTTCTGCCCAACACAAGCTGAAAGTTTGGCCTGAGCAAGGGTTGGAGCTGAAGCAAGGCTGAAAATGGGGCCAGTCAAAATAATGGCCTGAACAGAGCCAACCACAGCTGAAATTAACCACCAAGCTGAAGGTGCAGTCGAGTCTCCTGAGGATGGCTGGAAACAAAGCTGTGACCCAGTATCAGGCCAGAGCCAAAATAGTGGCCCAAGATGGGGCTGCAGCCAAAGGTGAAGCACATTCTTTTGATTGTGTCCCCTTCAGGGTGTCAGCTTAGAGCATTGCATCCTTATTCATTACTTACCATCAGCAACAATAATAATTAGGGAATTGTAATTATCCCCTGGCAATTAGCTGCTGTTTTTATGATCTTCTTAAGTAGAAAGGATATACCTTGATTTCATAAGCCTGCAGGGCAACATGTAGTGTTAAGTTTGGGCTTGAGTTTGATGTATTGATTGGACAATCGCAGAGGAGGGAACACAGGGGAGGATTCTCAGGCTTGTTTAGGAACACAAAAAAAAACCAAACCCAAACAAAAATCCCAGACTTAATACAACTGGGGAAGAGTTTCATAAAGAGACATAATTACAGATTTCTAGCTGCTTCTGGGTCTGACCAAGTGGCCAGAAAGAGACTAAACTGCCAAGCAGAGGAGACCGTAGCTCTTAAATTCTCCAGCACTGTTTTAAAAAAGTTTTCTTAAGGTTGTGGTTTTGTTTTCAAGATACTGTAAAAAAAAAAAATCATTCTGCAAATCTGCTGCTTTTTCTGTGCAGAATTGGTATAACTGAAACTGCTCTGTGCTTTGGAGGTGCCAGACAGAAGACATCCTCGTGACATGAG